AATCTATACTGTCTAAATTGTGTATTGATTTTCATAAAAATGTTTTAATGATGAATGTGCTAGTTAGATTTAAACTTAGATAAAATCTCCAGCTTTGAAATATGTAGCAAATTTAGCTTAGTTCTGTTAATTAGAATGAAAAAGCATGACTCCTCCTTCCTTTTTTATTCAAGAATCACCATATTTTATATTTCACATAGACTCCTAAGACTCGTAAAATGCAGATCATTTGAATTCATTGCTAAGCTTGAGAGTTCTTTAGTCTGAGCCTTTGCAATTTGTTCTGGTAAAAGAATGAAGATTTGTCTCCCCAAGTCTACTTTAGCCAAACTCTGGACAGGTATGAAATAAGCCTAAAGATTTTCGATCTGCTAACAGTGTTGTAATAAACACAGTATAACTGACAGCTCCCATCCTTAACTTCATCTGTTCTTGTCAAAGTTGCCACCTGGAAATGTAGATAACAAGCTGCCTGCCACTTAACCTGGGAAAACTGTTGTAATGGCTGATACTAATGAAGATTTATGAGACTTTGCTGATGGCCTAATCATGAAGCATGCAGCTATAATACTAGCAGATTTGCATATCTTGTTTTTCAAGGCCACAGCTTCACGAGATCAAATTATGATAGGAATTTCTTGTTCAACTCTTAAAAAGATTAGGCTACAAATCGATGTTCTTGATGAAATTCAGGCATTAACATGCTTGTCAGTTACTTTCCTGTAACCATTTTGTAAAACGGATCTATAAAGATTCAAAGAAATGTCAGAGTGAAAAACCTCACCTTTTTTTTCTTCGTTGCGTTCTATATACACAGTCAATTTGTAGAAAAATCGACAGCAATGCAAGCAGGCAGAGCAACTAAGCAGTGTGGTGCAGAGTTTAAGAAAATTTCATGTGAAAATGTCGCACTCTAGGGTTTTCAGGATGAGAGTGAAGTTGTGATCAGGTGTTAAAGTCTGAAATCACCTGTAGGTAATCGCATAATTGTGAATTTTCCACTTTTTGCAGTCCTCTCCCAAGGAAAAATGGGTACAATGTTGAAAGTATAAGGGTACATTAACACCTCTGTTCCCTTGTTCAGAAGAAACCCTGATTATGATCTTCTGAAAGTCAGGCAGTAATAACGCATGTCCAGATGAAGCATCTACCTGGGTTTTCTCCTGATCGCACGTAATTTCCTCCCGGCGTTAACGACACCCCCGTGCCGTGCGTGCTGACGTACGTAACTTTGTGTAGCGCGTGGTAAATCGTACATGAGGGACAGGGCAGATTACTTCTGACACCTTCCTGCTGCTAGGGTATGCAGTAGTGGTGCGTGGTGTCATGTCGTGCCCTATGTAATCATTTACAGGACATGTGTTTGTCTGCCTTTCCTGCAAATATGACTGTAGGGTATATGTACTATGTACCTTTGACAGTTTTTTTGGAAGATAATAAAATTATCAAAATTGTCCTGAAACAGGTGGTTATAAAACAAGATGGCTGCACTTTTAGCCTTATCAGATTCAACCCAAAATTTATATCATTATCATTCTGCACCTTTTGGTTTGAAAGTTGGAAATGCTGGAACCAATGTTTTTTACAGAAATTTTCTTTATATTAGGTAACTGTTGGTGGTTGCTACTTGTGCAATGTAATCACTGTAAGTATTTATGAGAAATAAATGTTTAAAATGGCAACCTAAGCATGTAATGTTTTCTCCATATCCTGATCACAATTTAATGCAGATAAAGTCCAGATGCATAGTATTATTACTCATTAACACTGAAAATACCTCATAATACCTAACAAAATTGGGTAAAGATGGTGATGAGTAAATGAAGAACATAAAGTAAAATCAGTGGCCAGTTTCAACAGAGCAAACTCAGCAGGTCTTAATTTTATAGGTGCCCAATGCATATTTCCCTACCCCCCTCCCTCCCTGATGTATCTAAGAGTTGATGTTCTAGTAACCTTCAGGAATCACCTGTGCATTCACTCCTGTCTCGCGTCTTAAAGATGCCCCCAGACAGGTGCGGAATGCAGCCTTAATTGATCGAGCAGTCTGCCCGTCTTGTGATTCATGATTGCAATTAAGGACCCACAATTTGCTTGGTGGTAATGTTCTCCTGATAATGTGCGAGAGATTTTCCCTGGGGTGATATGTCTTCTCCCTACTACACGTGACTATTGATCTTTCTCTACAGGCTGCTGCCTGGCATTTTTGGGCCGCACCATTTCAAACACTTTGGGGAGGACAAGGATAAAGATAAATATTTTGCATCCAGAGACAAGCCAATGAAATCTAATTGTACCACTAGACCAAGTATTAAAATATATCAGTAATTCCAATTCAACTTTACTCTTTAGATACATGTATTTGAAGGCTTAGTTCAGTAATTATCTGAACAAAATACACAAACCACAGCATTTGAAACTATCTAGCAGTTGAGCAGAGTTCTACCGCAATTTTGAATATTTCACTGATGAAAGATGCCGGACGGCGTCTGAAACGTCTGACATTATTTTCTTATTTTATCCAGAAGTAAAGATTCAAACTTTTCTTATTAGTATTATCCTGGATGATTAATCTTCACAAACGTATCTAGCAGTTGCTGTGAATATTCATGACAGGTGTCAAATGCACAGTGTTCCCTTACAATTGTATTGCTAATGCATTTATGCTGGTTAGGAAACTTAACAACAACTTAAAATTCCCCTTGTGGCTGAAAAACCTTGAGACAGAAAGGCCCTGAAATTAAATAACACTCAACTCTAAGACTTGATGAATTTTGCGAACAATTAATAAATCCTCCCTACCAATATTGAAATGTATCAGACCATAATATCCTTTTGTGCTGGTTTATTCCGGTGATATGGTTGGCCCACTCCCCAGTGTTAGTAGACAAGCGCTCCCCACATGCCCTGATTTAATAATCAATGTATATGCACATGTGGCATTACTGTATATTGATGGGCCACATGTGCCCATACACACTCATTTTATTATGTTTCTTCTTATCATACAATGTGATTAATGCTGCAAATAATGTAAGGAAATACAAGGGGATAACAGCTTAGAATATGAAGGATTAAATGATTTGAATAAAGTATAAAGCAGAAAGTGTATCCAAATTAAATACTCCTACTTTAAGGAGCTTGGCATAAAAGATTCCATAAACCTTAATATTTCTTCCTTTCACCAGTAAGTGAGATATCTGGGCTATGGTCATTTGTCACTGTCATGGTTTTTTTCATTATTTTGTTTCAGTAGTTTGCACATGGAGATAGATGTCTGTGGCATTCTCCAATTTAAACAGAAACCAACCAAACATTATGAGCACTTCTGTGCAAAGGAGATAACAGGAATAATCGTCAGTAAGGTGAACGTTTCAGTCACTTCAGAAATAATAGGCAGCATGGAGACATTGTTTCCCTCGTATTGAATGTGTCCAAGATACCGTGAAACATGGAGTAGATTTCTGAGTCGGTGTCACTTTTAATCAACTGCTTACAACGGTAACCTGCTTGGGGAAATGAGAGGTAGAATGATGATAGATTACATCAGCTTTTCTCGCTAGGACAGGTCTTTTTTGCTCCCCCGAGAGACCAGAGACAAAGCCGACCGTACTGGGTCAATTACAGGCTTGTATTCTGTGCACGGAGGATTGTGTGTGAACAAGATGGCGGCGTAACTGCTCATGTTGCGGGGAAGATGGTGGATGGCTTCCGCTTTGTGAGACACAGATAAAGCCACGGGCGTGATAACACACAATGGATGGCAGAGAATGACTTGGGTAGTTTGATGAATAATTTATGAAGAATTTGTACCTGCTGGAGTGATGATTTTGTTGACCGTTGACCTTTATATGGTGTCAATTACAGAATTTCGATGTATCAAAAGGCTTTTCTGCAACCTTACTAAAAATAAGCCACATTAATGTAATTTCCTGATACTAGAATTTTAACTGAAAATAAATTGAGCCACGAAGTTAGAAATAAGACAATGATTAGGGAATATTTTGTGTGTAAATGATTGGAAAAATGTTGGGATGACTAGGATGACACAAACACTCTTCAACTGCTGGTATCAAACTTTTAAGAGACGTTTTGAGGTTCACTTATACCCTCTATGATACAGGTTATTTGTTTTTTTTTATCAGATAAAACTTAAGGGCCAGGCAAAACCAAGGACCAACAAATTAAATTGACATAGCCCTAGCTTGGACTGTTCATATATATTCTGACTATCCTTATGGTATAACAGATTATCAGATTAAGGCTATCTGCACGCCAACTTTTCTGATAACCACATGGTAAATTAGCAGATTTAGATGCCAGTAATCTGCCCACCAAGATGTAAGGATCAGTATATTGATTTACAGCTTTGCATAGACATGGCAGCCTCAAGTGTCCGTCACAAATTCAGAACCTTCCCTCCACCACCAACCTACCAAGGTTGGCTGGAGTTTGGGGGCAGTCTGACCAGATTTAGTCCACACCTACCTTTCTATATAAATCAAATCAAATTTGAGATAAATTTGACCCCTGGAAATGCCTCGAACACTGCTGACCTACTCCAAACCACAAGCCAACCACCAGCCAAGCATCGCTGAAACTCCTGCTGTGAAGTGAAGCAAATGAATTGGTGTAGCATTACCGGTACTTCAATATCAATTCACAGTATGGTACAAAATACAGACGCTACATTTCTGGATGGACCATGTACAGAGGGTCTCTTCAATACTTCAATGAAGAGTGATCAAATAATGACAAGTCAAATGCAATGAAGTAAATCTTATTTTGACAACAGACTTTGACTTCCTCATCACCATAGTTGCATAGTTTTTTTTATCTTCATAGCAAAATTAGAAATAAAAATTAAGACTTTTATAACCACCATGATTTCAGCACCAAGGACAGCAACTAGTACCACACAAATACCAGAATGTCCCTGAAGTTTTCTAAACTTAGTTTGAAGTTGCCTGAAACTTACACCTTATTGTTTTGTTCTGCAGGGTCCCGAGAATGGCTACACGCAGGAGAGGTGGGATGCGATCATCTCCTTCTTGGTGCAGTTTCAGGAGCCGAAGGACCCCACCGAGATTGCCAACCACCTTGGTCTGGCCAGCCGCAAGCAAGTCAACCCCACCCTGTATGCTATGCAAAAACGGGGCCTCTTAGTCAAGGTAAGAACAATCATGGTGAATCTAAACATCTGTAGAGATATAAGGATAACAGTTACTACATGTCACAAGACAACATGTTCAAGCTTTCACACTGATCGGTATTTTTTTCCTGTGCAGGTCTCAGAGACACCCCCACGTTGGGGGCTTGTTCCAGGTGTCACAGCAATACCCAACCACCTCAACCACCCTGGACCCAACCGAATGCAGGAGCGTGAACCAGAGTACGAATACTACGATGCTCGCAGCGACTTCCAGAACGGAGACAGAATAGAGTCCGTGAGATACGAGCAACCGATGTATTACCCCAACGAGCAGCGCATGAGTCCAGGCGTGAAGAACGAAAGACAGACGCCCTCACCAAAGTACCAAAATGGTCCCATTCCTGGCCCGAGCGACCCCTCCCCCCTTCTGTGGCACCCAACTGGCAGGTGAAGTCAGAACCGATGGACATCGACCATAACCAGGAATCCTGGGCCCTCCATGCCTCAACAGGTTCAGGAAGGCGTGAATGTCCAGGGAGCGAATGGGATGCCACCTTCTCCCCCCGCATCCCAGGCTGCGAATCCCGCACCAGCTTCGTCCCAGCTCGCGGCAGGGTCTCTAGAAGACAGGCTGCTGGCGGCCCTCTCCAGAGCAGACAGCCCAATCAACTCCAACGATTTAGCCAAGATGGTCGGTTTCCGCACGAAGAAGGAAATCAACCCCACACTCTTTGCTATGCAACGGAAGGGCCTGGTGAAAAAGGTGAACGACGTGCCGCCCCTGTGGCAGGTCGTAGAAGCAGCACGTCTCACCAACCTCCCGCCCTCCCCAGTTTCCATGGAGGCAGGGGACACGCCCCTGGAAACCTCCACGGCCACCAACAGCTCCCGCAGTTCTCCGTCTTCCTTCACTGTGGACACCGCGCTGCAGATGCTGGGAGCCCCGGCACAGCCAAGCGTCCAGCCCGCAGAACGGGATCTCGCTTTGGAAACCCTCATCGAGCTTGCAAAACGAGAGAACCAGAAGACGACATCACTTGACCTCGCAAAGGCCCTGGGCTTCCAGACTAAGAAGGACATCAACCCCACACTGTACGCACTCCAGAATAAGGGCTTTGTCGCGAAGATAAACGACTGTCCACCCTGCTGGACCATCCTCGCTGCAGGAAAAGCACACATGTCACAGCGAAGCATCATGGAAAACACAGCCAGCGGCGCGCCTGCCCCCAATTTCCAAGACGGACGTTCCGTGAATGGTACCGGTCAGTTCGCCGTCCCTCCGAGCCCACCCGGGCTGGTCCAGCAAAACTCAGCATTCCAGGCTAACCCTAACCAGGCAGGACAGGGCGGTGAAGCCACCAACGGAGGACCGGTCGAGCGACAAGCTGCCCCGGTTCTCAACAACGAGACCTTTGCTGCTCTGAACAAGAACCCCATCAGTGCTCTGATGGAATACGCCCAGTCGCGTCACGTCAAGGCATCCATCGAAGTGATCGCAGAAACTGGGCCTCCTCATAATCCAAGGTAAGGTGCTAGATTGGTCTTGGACTGAAAAATTTTGATAATACAGTTACAACGAGTGTTGAGGGCAAAGAAGTCTTAGCAAAATTATAACAACCCAAACTGTGTTTGCATATAACTTAACCTTCAGCCTGCTAGGTAGTGATTGGGCACCAAATTTGTAATCATTGTTATGCAGTTAGGCAGAATGAAGAAGATAAAGGAAATGAATATTTTGCGACTGTTTATCATTTTGGCAGTCACGTTTTCCAATGGTACATTTTTGGCCAATAGTTGCAGATAGATGGTGAAAGGCTAGCAAAAGACAGTTACTCATTATTGCAGGTTATATATCTTGAATGCAAGTTGGCAAGTTGCCTTCCTCAATTATTTGCTTGGAAGGAAAATCTACAAAAGTAAGTCTTTGATGTATAGCCCAGATTCAATCATGCCTGGCAAACTCTCCGACTGGTGGAGTGGTAGACTCATCATGTAGACATGTACTTTAGCTCTTATTAATGACTTGCAACCTAAGATGTAGAGGTTGAAACTTGTTTGAGGTACCTGATTATTCAAGCTTTGTACGTAAGCAGGCAATTTCCTTGATTCTCATGGACCTGTAATTACACCTGTCCATCTACGACACATCCTTTGAAGGCAAACGACGCAGTGCCACGAGGATTACGCTGTCAGCTTGGTTCTACATTCTTCAAACTCACCCTGTCAAAGTTTAGAGCCATGTCATACAGCACTTGCATACCAAATGTATGTGGCAGCAACTTGACATTTTCATGGAAGAAAACAGGGCCTGGTAGTCATTGCTCATAATCTATCATGAACAGTTACCATTTCTCTTTGGGGTTGGCAGCCAGCCACAAAAGCTTGCCATGGTACCAACTCAAAGCCAGGGCTAGACTCCACATCAGCTCTGATGCATTGGTACAATCATGGGTAGTGCACAATAGTTACTGGACTTGAACTGGTCCTATTAGTTGACAATCTACCATGTAGATCATGGTACAAGGGTTCCCATTAGCATCAGCAGAAAACAGTTTCTTTCAACAACTGCAGAATATTGTCTTCCTTTCAATTTAAAACATCAAAGGAGAGAATTCTGTTTTCTAGAGGGTAGCATACCACATACATAGCCTGTTGGCTGTTCTAAATGCTGTCTAACCCTGTCAGCATTTCACTGTTTTCACTCATTTTATGCATAAAATGCCTTGTATTTGTTTTTCTCTCTCTCTGTCAGTCAGCCTTGAAAGATTATGACTTAACTGCACAAAAAACAGAATGGTAAAGTTCTAATTGTACTCGTAATGATAGAAATTTTTACAGTCTTGAAGCATATTTGCCAGCAAACATTTTGTAGATTCAATCCAAAAGTCTGTTACACTCCATGAAGAGTTTAATAGTACATGTAACAGCTCCAATATTATTCGGAGATGATTCTACAAATGTAAGTCAGGATTATTTTGCCCTTGAATCTGATTGGCCATTCATTGAAGCTCCCCAAAATATCATCAAATTGTATGTTAATGCCCTCTGAAGTGAACATAATTTTTTGCAGCATATTAATGTTAACACTCGGCATATTAATGTTGCTCTCTCTAGAAAATTGTTCGGTAAACATCCCCTAAGAGACAAGTTTGTATTGACCTTGAATTTGATTGGCCTATATGTCCTCTAACTTCAACAAAGTATCATCAATTTGAAATCATATGACCTTATGTCCTTGCACTTTAAGTCGTACATCATTTTTGGCTTCGTGTAAGCAAGCTACTTAATCATGGAGCATTTCATACATTTTTTAGATTTAGGGTAAAAAAAGGCCAATTAATTAGTTGATCTAGAAAGTGCTGCAATGAGTTTTGTCTATGTTTCAGTTTGATGTGACAGATATGCAATGAAACTTATGTTTCTTTTTTGTAATAATTCTATCTGTTATCATGTAACAACATCTGGCTGTGTGTTGATTTTCCATCATAGTTGACAAGAGAAGCATGCATGGGAATTGTAACTGGTGATTATTAACTCAATAGCTTCATTAATCTCATGTGTTCAGGCAGTTAATAGTATACTACGAACTTAAGATACATAATAATGTTATGTTAATCAGGCAAATTCAGAAATGAGAGAAATTCAAACTTAAGAAAAGTTTGAATCAGTGAACTATTGCACAATGTACAGACTATTTATTAAATGTTAAATGACTATGAGTTATTAAATGTTACAAAATGAAGTAACCAGTTTTTATTAATCAAATTCTACTTCATTGACTATTAATGATGCATTTATTAGAAAATATCCTATTTAGAAGTTTTTCCATAGTATAACCTGAACTCAGTTCAGTGCCAAGAATTGGTCTCGGCATTATACTGACCAAAATACTTTTGAAAAATATAAGTACAGTAACTGTTGTAAATCATATATACTATGTTTTTCTCAGAATCATGTTCCCATTATAGCAAAAACTTGGATCTAAGATATTGATTATCTGTTACTGTATAATGTATGCATCCCATTTACAGATTCTTTATATTTACGCAATAAGTCTGGTATTAAATCCTCCTAATACCCTTCCAGTGTCATGATCAGATTAGGGTGGCAAATTCACACTGGGAGTGTAAGAGCCTATATTTTATCATTCAAGCAATTATGGCATTACACACATTATTTATTCTTGTCTCTTCTTAGCCACAAAGACAAGGATCGAAAACCGCAGAATAACTTTGGGATGTAACTGGAACTAGATAGAGTCTTTATGTGACCTTCAAGACTGGCTATGGAGTAATATTAATTGGTTGACGGATAAGCCGGTAGTTTATGTTGCCCTAAGGAAGAGTGCATCTGGTCGCAGGTGCAGACTAATGTCCTTAATAGTTCCTCTGGCAGAATGTTTATATCTTTTCCCACGCAGCATATCATATTTAATGCATGATATAGACAAATGGGACTTTTATATGGAGCTGAAACGTTCTTCCTGCTCGGCCTATAAAAATGCTGTAACCAAAGCAAAGTTGATGCGAAAAGCCTACCTTAGCAAAGAGATTGTATTAACTAAGTTAAGGGAGAAAACCAACAAACAGTTCCATTGCAACACCCTTTATTGATTGGTTCATTTAGCTAAAAGAAGAATGGTCATACTTAAGTGTCCTCTCCATCAAGAATTTCAAACAGTTTGAACAATCTATTATTTGATAAGTTAAACTTAGGATAAAGTCAAACAGTTCTATAACAAAATTACTATATAATAGATAATCAGCAAAGGTACTGTCCCGTACAGTAGGCTAAGCCTTTTTGAGGCAGTAGGGGCAGTGGGTTGTTGATCCACAGTACATGCCTAGGAGCCCATCCCTCTCCTTCCACCACCTTGCATCTTCCCAACCAAAGTCAGGTACCCATTTTGCACCTGGGTGGAGTGAGGAAAGTCATGTTAAGAGCCTTTCCCAATCATCTATCCAGGAATGCATTGGAAAAGGAATCAAACCCATAACCTTTCAATCTTGTGTTCACTCACTTTAGCCACAGCCATGCATCACAAGTCATGTTGTTTTGTATCCTCATATCATCCATCAGTCAGTAGAGGATACCTTTTCCATCGCACTTGGAGCTCAGTGAACCTTTGCTAACAGAAATGATCTCCATAATTGTCCAGGTTCACCATGGCAGCAGTGGTGGGAGGGCGCCAGTTCCCAGCAGTCATTGCAAAGGCCAAGAAAGACGGGAAGCGGGAGGCGGCGGACGTGGCGCTGCGCACCCTGATCAGTGAAGGTCACCTTCAGCTGCCTCAGAAGCCCCCCACCCCCAAGAACAACGGTTCTGTGAGTAGAATGACTACATTTTGGGGGTAATGTCAAGACCTTCCGGTGATCAAAACAGAAGGCCTAGGATAAATGTAGTCCTGGAATGTGGAAGATAAGAACAACAAAGCTCCTCTACTATTCATGTACTATCAAAAACTCACTTTGAGATTTCTGCAAAATGTCTAAAACAGAGCATAACGACAATAAGATGATCTGTATCTGTATCTGTATAGCAGGTATAACCGCCTTTCGGTGTAATACCGAAATAATAATTCAGCTAGATTATTATGTATATACATATCAGCTGCTTAAATGTGATGTTTATAAACGTCTCAAAGTCTCATGTAATAAGGAAACACCATTACAGTGTGTAAGGCCACTAGTAAGATGATTTTGCTATAATTGTTGGATGTGTACAAATAGATCCAACCATAATGCACTTGAACCATAACTGATTGAGTAGCATTATGTATATTTCAGTCAATTGTATAGAATTCTAAAACACCAAACCATTTACCATTCACTCCATTGTTGAAACAATGTATAATTGTATAGCGCATTATTTCGGCGTATTGTACAGAATTTGGTCCGACTACATCGTACAATGACACCAGAGATATACATTAAATGTTAGCAAAGACGGCATTAATGGACAGTTGAGTATCTGTATAAAAGCACTAGACCACCCAAAAAAATTATTATGTTTTATAAAATATTGTTTATGGACACTTTCTACAGGATCTACAGTACCATAACTGCATGTGTTTTATTTCTTGCCAGTCACAGCCTGCTCCCACCGAGCCCACCCACTTTGACCGCATCGCGTCAGTCAGCCACCAGGTGTTCAACAACATCGTCCTGAACCTGCAGGAGAGCATCTCCGGCCGGAAGGTGCTCGCTGCCATGGTGATGCTCCGTGGCGACGAAGAACAAGGGACTGTCATTAGCATAGGCACAGGTAGGGGGCGCCTCTGACTGTGGCCATTTAGATGTTACACAGTCGAATGTCATCTGTTTGAAACTGTATCAAATCATTGTTGTCAGTATCTAACACATGATTGTGTAAAATGTTATAAAAATAAATTGCTGTGTTAATTTTCTCATTATTATGCATTCAGAAGACGGTCATTCTGTGTAAGATTCTACCTGTGGATAATAATTATTGTTGCATTTCCTAACAATAGCATACAATGTATAGCAGTGCTTCATGAAAGTCAGTATTGCAGACTTATGACAACTTTAACACATAATGTCAAGCGCTAATCAAATTACGTTTTTCAAAAACCTTTTTTGTGCTCTTAATTGTTTTTTGACCGTCAAGCCCTCTTCATCACTTCCCTGATGCAGCTACAATGAAAAGAAATTTAGTAACATACATGTACACAATCATATCATAGTACATTTAGCCATGTAGCACGTTGTCAGAACATACTGCACCTGCACAAAACCCTAATTTTTCACGTTTTTAGTTGGACGTTTGGTCTATGTTGCATTAGAATTTTGCATGTTGCATAGGATATCTAGTCCAACATAACATGTAGAAACTACAGACGGGATGTTGACCTTATAGCTCGTGCAGGTGCAGTGCGTTCTGCCGACGTGCTAGGCATACAGTGCAAAGTTTATGGTTCAAAGGTCAGACGTCTGGCCATTTTTGCAGGGAACAGGTGTATCGCAGGAGACCAGCTGAGTAGACAGGGTCTGGCCATCAACGACTCGCATGCTGAGATCATGTGCAGAAGGGCCTTCCTTAGGTATCACACAGTAGACACAGCCACATGCTAACAGCTTCAAATACTCTCCTCTTATATGTACATAATCAAGATCAGAAAGAGGGTGTATGAGCTACTAACCAATGAAATCGTGGATTTTTATCATTGACAATATTGATCTTTAAAAACCAATGGTATTGTTTCCTATTTCATTTAGATGAAAAAGTTAAATTTCTGACCAAGTTGTGCTCAAATTTCTCTATTTTTTGCTGAATTAATGTTTACATCTTTGTAAACACAGTTCCTTGTAATGTCAGACTTCAGAAAGAGTTCAAAATGAGATAAGGAAAATTAGATTTCAAAGATTGAATTTTGTTAAGAGTAAACTAAAGATTGCCAGGCACTCATATACCCTCAAGTTCATGGTACTAATCCTGCTTCTCTTCTATCTTGAACTGTCCCTTCAGATCAGGTGGCAACTACATGTGGGCTTTCATCTGGCTCTCCATATACTACTCACACCTACATGCACATGTACATACCTGTCAGCAAAATATAATTGCCTTTATGGATGGGAGAAGTCAGAATTGTTTTGAGAGAAATTTGGGGAAACGTTTACTCATATGTCTGAATTGTCCTTTTCTAGGCATTACATTTATTGATAATGTAATCTTTTTAGATTAAACAATAGCAGTTTAATCTGGGGGGAATCTCTTTTCCAACAAAGTACAGAAAATGCAGAGTCACAGAAGACATTTTACACTGACAACATTTGATAGACTTTCAAAGTTTGACACTTGAAAATCACAGGATATGTCTTCAACTCTTGTTTGAGGGTTGCTGAGAGAAAAGCAACTTAGACTTCTTCCCATCCTTGTGTTCTAAAAAGAACCACCCATCTTAATCATCTGCTAGTAGTTAATCCATCCTAATCATGTAGTTAATCCATCATTGTGCTTTCTCTGTCCCTTGTCTCTTCCTCCCTGCTGCCTGTTGGAACTCGTTTTTGGCAATGCCTCTGGGACGGAGCAGGTAACCGATGTATCACAGGGGAGCACCTCAGTCTGGAGGGTCAGACTGTTAACGACTCCCACGCAGAAATCATTGCCAGGAGGGGCCTGCTCAGGTAACAATACAGAACTTCACCCTGTACCCAACTTGGTGTCACCAAGCAATTTGAAAACTAGAAAAAAAGGTAACATTTGGAAAGCAAATGCATAATGTTTACCATGGAATATGGGCTGCTCTGTTAGTTCTTTCTCAAACACATTCTTATGTATGGTGACAAGAATCTAAATCCCTCCTGCTATAAAATTGCAACATAATGTCACCCAACTACATGTAGTTACCATGGTGACAAACGTCTGGTTCAGGTCATTTACCTTAAGTGTTTGGAGAAGAGGAAATTGAGCAAAATTTTTTTTTTTTCTTCGGTAAACATTTTCCGTTATTTAAGGAAAAAGAAAATTTTTTGTCTGTCTTATTCAATCTAATTACCGGTATTTCAATTCAGTACAGTAACAGTGTTTTCAAAACATTTAAATCAGATCCTGCTATAGAGGCCTTTAGTTAATGGTTTCTACCTACTTTATGGAGCTAAGTCCTGATATAAACACAGCCCACCAAGTAACTAGGATTACAAAATTAAAACATTTCAGGACATTGGGAACCTTTTAGAAGACCTGTTTTTCCTTTCTCAATTTACATGATGCATATTTAAAGTGCTCTTGAATTAACCTCTATGTCACTGCCAATCATAGTTACCCCACATTTCAGATAGCACTATAAGAAGGCCTCACTCATAGTACCCTGGAGTTATATAAGAGTTGTATTTAGTAGTCTGTCCATGTACTTCTGTGTAGGTGTGTTGTTCAGCTAAAGGTGCCAAAGTAGATAAGGCAACCCTGAGACTTGTATGTACCCTCCAGGCAACAAAACTTGGCAGAGAAAACGCTGATTCAGAAAGACTCATAGCTCTTACTGATATTACTTAGGAATGCCTGGAAGCACTTAACACTGCAAACTAGCATGGCAGGCACATGCTGATGCCACAGTGTTAAATGGAAGACTTTCATTTAACATGTCTGCCATCTTGAATTTTGGATCAAAAGAAGGTCTTCGTTTGAGCAGTTAGGGTAAAAAGCATGACATTGCGTTGGACCATTTTTGTTGAACTTCACAGTCGTGTGTGTCTGAAATGCATTTCTTCACTGCATGTTTCTTGACTTCTGTTGTGCCTTTAGATTTATTTTTCTTGTCTGTCTTTATACCTCTGTGCATGCACATTATCATTTCTATAGCTTATAATGTAATGCCTGTACATTGAACTAGTTTTGGTTACTAGTTTTATACCTGAGTGAACTTTATACCTGATTAAATTTTACAATTATATTTTGAACCAGAGACTCAAACTAACTTGACCTTCTGTAAAGTTTATCGTGTTTTTTCCATTATTTATCCAGTCAATCAATGATATATTTCTTTAACAAATTTGTTTACAGTTTAAGTATGTATACTTGAGTGTCAAATCCCCATCAAATTATGTCTGAAACAATTTCCTTCTGATGAACTGTTTTTTTTTTAATATTCCAACATGTAATCATACATGTAAGATGTGGTGACGGCACACTCAAGTTTTTTTCAATTCATTAATGCCGCCACCAAGACGGGACAATACAATGCTCATTTTCAACATTGAACAAAGTGACAAAAGTCGTGTTAAGTGCCTTTCCCAAGGGCACAAGATCGGTGTCATGTCAGGACTCGAACCCGGGACCTCTTGGTTCCGAGTCGAGCACTCTGCTGCTACGCCACACGACCCCATGACTGTTAGTTGTATTAACAGATGTTGTCCTCCTGCAGATACCTGTACCAGCAGCTGCTCAGTTACTATGACGACCCCGAGAACTCCATCTTCCAGGAGTGTGACGAGGACTCCAAGCAGCACTTCAAGCTCAAGCCGGACGTGACCTTTCACCTCTACATCAGCACGGCGCCCTGCGGCGACGGCGCGCTCTTCTCCCTGCACGACACGGAGCAGGTGTCGGAGGTGGAGGAGCCGCTGGAGATGTCCGACAACATCCAGCACACGCCCATCTTCTCTGACCCTGGGAAACAGGGCCTGCTGCGGACAAAGATGGAACAAGGTAAAAAAACAGGGTATTCTGAGGGCTTATATAAAATAAAGATGGAAGAAGGTAAAATAACGGGTTTATCCGAGGGCTTATACAAAACAAAAAAGGAACAAGGTAAAATAACGGGTTATTCTGAGGGCTTCTACAAAACAAGGATGGAACAAGGTAAAATAACCAAGGGTTTATACAAAAGTAAAATAACAGGTTATTCTTCTCAGTCCCAGAAGTCATGGCTTACATGAAAAAAAAAGATTCTGCAAGATGTCAAATACAAAACAAATTATGGATAGGTTTATCTGTCCGCTGTGAAGGGTGAAGTTTGGTTTTTGTAGGCCATATTATAATCTTAATCCAGCGCAATCCAGCTTTTGCCCTTAAAAATTGGTCTAAATTCTTTAAAAATTTGTATTTTCAAGTTCAAGTTGAACATGACCTTTAATAAAAACAACCATGTTGTATGCAGGTGAGGGAACCATCCCCATCGACCCTGACACGCCCATCCAGACGTGGGATGGCGTCCTGCGCGGCGAGCGTCTGCGCACCATGTCTTGCAGCGACAAGATCGCCCGCTGGAACATCGTCGGCCTCCAGGGGGCGCTGCTGTCACACTTCCTGGAGCCGGTCTACCTCAGCTCCGTCACACTGGGTAAGGCAACATCCGGTGTAAGTAGTACATGCATGTTACATACTACTGGTGTACCTCAGCTCTGTCACTCTGGGTAAGGCAACATGCAGGGCTTGGAGCTTATTTATCTCATACAGGAAAATTATCAGCATTTTTGCCAGACCCACAGCATACTAGGCCAAAAGTTATCCAGTCACAGTGCATACTTTGGGCCTAGTGCGCTGTGGGTCTGGCATCCAGGCTATAGAATTATCATCAATGGTAAATTACATTTATAACTTGCTGGCTGTGAGGTAGAGGCAGATAAACTTCAAGAATATATGATGGTATCTGGCGTGTGCATTTGAAATGTCATAATATTGCTTCATTCACTTGCTCTAGATCTGCCACATGCTAGCAAGGCTTGGAACAAACTTCTTTCATACACTAAAATGGTAAATCATAATTAACTGGCTGAGGTAGGGGCAGAAAAACATAATGACTGTACATATAGAATACTACACGGTGTATTCCGTATTGCCCAAGGTACCAGCCCGACTGCAGGCTCATCGCGGGAGGGCTGGGACCAAGGGGGATGCGGAATACACCGTGTAGTATTTTATTTATGTCATACCCACCCAAGCTAACAGATATTTCACTGCAAAATCTGCCAAAATTTGTTGAATCTAGACAAAAAGTGTAACAGCTTCAATTCTAACATCCGAATTCGGTGTCCGCAGTTTCGAAAGCGACGCACTCGGTTTTGCGCGAAATGCATTCAAATTATTCTATGGAACATTTGGAAGCCCGTATGTGTAAAGAACCCCGGGCCGTACTGCTAGTTATCACCTGTATCGAATGTAATCAAGGCCCAGGTATGACATAAATGATGGTATCTGTGCATAATGATTGTCATTGCTTCATTCAATTGCTCTTAGATCTGCCACACCAAGTATTTAAGTGTATGTTAGCACGGCTTGTAACATAAATTTTGTTTTATACACTAAAATTATGATAAAGTATGATTTTGAGATACATGAATATTATGTAACATTTGCAATGAGTTTGAATTTATCAAACATACATGTATCTCTGTCAGTGAATGTATTGATCTTGAATTTGCACAAAGTCACGTCTCGTCAGCACATAAACATGTGACACCAGCCCAGTGGCCTTTCAATTCAGCTCCAAGTACCTCATTTTCTACCACAGGGACAAAGAGCAAAGAGTTTTAGGGCATGGGTAGCAGTCAGGTTAATGAGTTATTGATTTATCATTAAAACCAATGAGTTATGACTAGCTGGTTGAGGGGGTATACATAAAACACATTCTGTTCCAAAATGAATGGATTGTGTCACCTTGGAAAGATAGTGAGCATTTTGCTTTTAGTTTGTTGATAGTGGAATAGTAGCATCCCTAGAGGAAAGGTGAGAGGTCTGTAGAATTTTGTTTTGAAGAGAAGAACACTTCTTTAAAAAAATTAGAAGACACAAGGCGAAGACACAAAGACAATGTTTTAAATTAAAAGTGTAAAACACAGGGCATGCATACCATTGTCTTTGTGGTATAATTTGAAGACTATAAGTAAAGAAAAATCAATTGAAAGTACATGTATGTTTCTTTTCCAAGTAGTTGAATGAAGTATAACAATTGTTGGATGCTGTACAAACATGCACCAGGTAAGGTTAATGGGGCCAAATATAACAGACTCATTTCTACAAGCCATTGTTACAAAGTGGTCCCATAATTCCACTAGCCTAACCATCCTTTTCAACAACAAATAAAGTAACAATTTTTATACCACCACAACTTTAGAACAATCCCTTTCTTTGATCATCTTACCAACTGACCAATTAAATGTTAAAGGTAACCATTTCAATAATGTGTGCATAATGATTAACTCATTTTGTACTGAAGAAACAGATAAAAGTCCATAGTTCAAAGATAAACTTTCAGTGCTGCAAACAAATTGTAACAACCTTTCCTAACTTGAAAAAAACATGCTAAACATTTTAGTCAAGAGCATTTCGCAAATAATTCCCCACGTGTGGTTTGCTCTTTGCTCACCATTGTCTTATCATTGAACTATGGAACCCAAGTAACCTTTATCTAGTACCAAATGCAGGGCTCGAAATTTATTTTTGGAAATGGTGCACTCAACCTAAAAAAATGGGTGCACAAAATTTATATGAAATAGAATAAATACATGTAGCTGAATGTCAGAAAACTAATCATGTTTTATTTGTAAAGAAAAATACTACAACAAAGATTTTCTTTTTTTTTGACACAAGAATATGCTCATTTAACATGTTTACATAAACCTAAAAATATATTTGGGTGCACTGGTGCACCTACAGAAAAAAAAATTGGGTGCACAGCTTCAATTTTGGGTGCACTAAGGTGCACATGCACCCAGTATTTCGAGCTCTGAAATGTGATATTATAAGGTATGATTATTATTGGATCATTGTTTTCCTTGGTTTCTCTATCTCTGTACACAGGAGCGATAAGTTGCCCGGGGAAGAACCGCCGACAACGACGGATCTATCTTTCCCGCCGACAGAGTCAGAAACCCTCCCTTTCAAGTCTCCGCCCTGCAACCTGCGCTCATTCCATCTTCCGCCTTTCTGTCATTTCTTCTGTCATTTCTGATTTCATTCTGCAAGTGGCTCATCTACACAACTATCCCTTCTGTTTACTTTGAAAAAATTTGAAGCTTTGCAAGTTATGACTTTTGTCATTCCATATCGTCACTCAATAAACATTATCCTCTCGTGAAAAGGCTCTTTCAAATGTTGTTTTCAAAAATCTTTTCAAAAAATGAACAAAATCATTTTCTCACAGGTAAAATACCCTGGGCATAATGGCTTAATGCCTACCTGGCCATTGATGACAAATTTTTGCTGGCTACTGTAAAATTTTCTTGTTCCTGTACAGGAGCATGTTGCATATGTATGTTACAGCATAAGTTATTACCAATACAATAGGATCTGGGAGTTCTTGTGGTGATGGCCTACTTGTAGATGTTCATGTAACTCATCATTTCATTGCTTCTCACACCTGCCTGCATGTTCTAATATCTCAATTATCTTCTCTGATTTCATCTTTCAAACTCCATCTGATTTTCCTCGTTTTCCCCTTTTCAATGTCTTTCCATTTCTGGTGTTTTCTGTTACTTCTTGCCTTTCTGACCAGTCCTAGCCTGGGTATCAGTCTTGTTTGGCCTATTACTGATGACATTCAATCACTCTTTGCCATCTGTGGAGTGAGAAACAGTCGAACAAGACTGGTACCCAGGCTAAATCTGACTCCAAAACCTTTTTTCTCAACATAACTACAAAGTCTCAGAGTGATTTCTTTCCTTTTGAGACAAACACACGACCAAAGACAGAGAGACAAGTTCACTGAATTTGTCTTGAATTTGTTATGACTCACAGCTATTCCATTTCAGAAGTTCAGACAGGGGTAGACTGAAATTTTTTCACAGCGACCTTCCTTTTACATTAAGTACTACAAATGTAGTACTACAAATGTAGTACTTAGTCCTCCCCTTTCCAGTCAACCGTATTCTATTCATCCTCAGCCCAAAACCTGCCATTCCTATCACACTATATCTCCTCTAAAGGAATCCTTCTGTGCTGTGTTTTGAAAGTTTCTGATTTATCCCTACCCGAGGTTTTCTGATGGAATAGCCACAAGTGATTCCATTATATTATAACACGTTGACCTGACAGTAACTTCATCCATCACTGGCTAAGCATGGCCAGCTACAAACACACTCCCTTTCTCAGGGATAACAGGACTAAAATCAACCATTTTGCTTTCACTTTAACCCTCAAAAAAAAAGAGAAACTACCAGAGGGTATGTCTAATTTCTATTTTTGCAGATTGGCTTGTTGTCTTTGTTAAGTTGCTGAAAGCACAGTGTGCTACCTTGCTGCATACATGTTGCATAGTATAGAAACGAGGGGCGAGGAATGATGTGTTTCTTCTTGTTTCTCCTAGGTATGATGTACATCCACGGCCACCTGACGCGAGCTGTGTGCTGCCGCTGGGCACGTGGAGACGTGGAGCTCCAGTCCCTCCTGCCGCCCAACTACAAACTCAACCATCCGCAGGTAAGGGTGTCACATCACACTCAGTCTATTGTCATTCAGTGTAACAAAAAGTCACAGTCTTAGGAAAATGGAGGTGTTCACGGAACTACTAGTATATGTTTACGGTGGTGGCACGTGCAGAAAAAAGAAAGTGATAAAAATGATAAGTTTGTGGTACAGAAGTGACGAAAAACACAAACTTAAAGAGTACCATGAAAAAAATCAGGAATTACAGTATTTCTTGCTATCTGGTCTGACTGGGCCTCGTCCCTAATGACAATGTGGTGACTGTCATACACCTCTAACTTGAGAGAACCATTCCCATTCCTACAACTACCAATAGGAGCTCAGGATTCTTTATCATCATAAAAACCACACCAATAGGAACTCGGGATTCTCTGTCACTATGGAAATATTGGACAGTTCTCAGTATGAAAATACTTGGTCCATGTTAGCATACATGCATTAGTCAACAGTATTGAGATGGTCCCAATCATATTTACCACTTCAGTCAGTGGGCCTTGATATTTGTCATCACATGACCTTTTCAACTTTGACCCGGCTGTGTTCCCTCCTCAGGTTGGTCGGGTAATGACCTTTAGGCCCCCTCGGGAGACCGAGAAGACAAAACCCCTTTCCATCAACTGGTGCCTGGGGCAGGACATTGCGGAGGTCATCGACAGCACCAAGGGCAAATGTGTGGAGAGGTGGGCACAGTTTTTGTTTTCTCCCTAATGTTTACTACATCACAATTCTTCTAGTACTGGATCTCATGGTTAAGAGTTCAAATCCCAGCATAGCTGAACCCCAATTTACATGCTTCTGCATGTGGTATAGCCCTTTAGGGAAAAATTCAAAAGTTCATGATCTCAAACGAACATATTGCAGTTGCTATTCAGAATCCAAGAACTCCAAATCTTCTCTGTATGTTCCCTTGGATTTAGATGTTATATGTACTATGTACAAATGTATATGCAGGACATTTTTCAATACATAGCATTGCCAGACACATATCACTGTTTGCTAATCTGATGTGTTACCAAATGTGTTATATTATACTGTCTAAACAATAAGGATGCAGAGTCATCTACAGAATCTGACGCTTTGGCCCTGTCTTTCAGGTATGGCTGCCATCCCGTATCCAAGGTTTCCAAATCCTCCCTCTACGTCCTCTTCCGCACTCTGTGCTCCAAGATGAATCGTGACGACCTCCTTGCCGCGAAGACCTATCATCAGGCCAAGCTGATGGCCAAGGAGTTTCAGACGGCCAAGGCTGCTCTCTTCGAAATCTGCGAGAAGAACGGCTATGGCAAGTGGATGCAAAAGCCTCCCGAGGAAGAGATGTTCCAATTGGACGATTCCGCCGACCTGAAGTGAACACCTGCAGTTAAGTTGACCAATAGGGTGGCGGCTTACATTAAGTGTATATACTGGGTCCTTTCATAGCCTCCTACCTATAAGCTGCATAGATATGATTATATATAAAAGTATGTATGCGTGAATGTATATTATGCATGTTGGTATAACATAACTAACAACACAAACCATCAACTTACCGTAAATTGCACAAACATTGTACCCAAGACATAGAGTAGATGAAAAGGCCTAGTGTGGAACGAAGCAATGACTTTGTGCAATGTCGGCAAACGGTTTTTGTTTGGTGCTGGAGAATCGTAATAAGAAAAAAACATGATTTGGGAGAAGCTTAAGGGCCCCTGTCTGAAAACAGCTGCGGGAAAATGGATGTAAAATTGAGACTGGTGTGGGGATGCCTTTGCCATAGGAAGTATTCAGGCAATAACAACACTAAGGAGCAGTAGAACTGTTCCACAAGCTTAGCTTCTACCTAAGCTGCACCCAGATATTGTATGATACACAGCTATCCTCACAGCTAGGCAGGAGCATGTCCAGCTCTAGTGTTAGACAACTGTAGGCATCTTATATTCATGGATGTAACAAAGAGATGCCGATGACAAAAAGCCATGTCAACGTATTTGACGTGTTGACAGAAGCTGGTGAGGTGATTATGTGATGCTTGGAAGTGTTCAAAGAATGTGTGACGTGCCAGGAAAATGGGACAATTTTGGACGACATCTGGGGAATTTCTCTACAATTCCAGTCTGTGTTATCGTAGTGCAAAGGATGCTGAGGTGACTGATGGCACACAGAGAGGCATTAAACCTTTAGACTCTCCAGTTTGGAGGAAGGAAAAGATACAAGTGAAGATGATACAGAAGTATCCTAAAGGTCTGATGACAAGATAACAGTGTAGCTCCCAAATAACGAACAAAGCAGCTTCCCTTCTGGAAAAGGGAAGAAAGCTAGTATGTACTTAAAGATGTTTAGAGGTGACAAGAAGAGACAAGTACTCAAAGCTTTCCAAAAAGACCTATTGGAACTTATAAGAATCCTCTCTAGTGTTAGAAGCAGAACAAGCAAGATGGCTTCCAAGGAAGCTAGTGGTAGGAAGATCATGAGACTAAGAGAGAGAGTTGTGAAGACAACCACAAAAAGTTGTGGGAAAATCTTTATTTTGATAGCATATTTACTGTTTATCGATGTGTTTGTGATGTTCAACCCATGATGTAATGTGATAGTTTGCCCGGAACTGGGCAATTTTGTGTGTGTGTTGCGTTACCTGTTACCCCGTCCCTAGCTAAGATTACCTCTCGTTGTCGTGAATTGTTGGTTGCACTACTTTCTGGAGACAAATCAGGCGAACGAGCAGAAAAGGTTGATCGTAAAAATTTTCTTCCACGGTGAAGAATATTCTTAACTTGTTATGTTCAAGGTCAAATCTAGGGTTGAAGGTCATTATTTCTGCTTCGGGGTATAGAATCGCAGTGACGATGACCTAATACTGTAGAGTGCTGTGATGTGACATTGATAACCCATCTGACAACAAACCATGTACTCCTGAAAATACCTAACGTATACTAAACTGACATTGCCTCAGATTCCAGGAGCCATTCAGTACTGCTTTTTCCCGAATAGAAAATTAAGATTTCACTGTATTCGTAGTATCAAAAGACAATCTCCTATTTGGTGCTCTAGCAAACTTCTGTACATGTGATGTTAGCACTTAATTAGTGGCTACACGTCCACTTGTGCAATTATTTGTTAAGAATTAATTGTGCTGATTTCTGCCTGCATTCAAAGTTAGACCTGTCCTTGGTGCTGAACTTTCGGTAATGTCCAAAATTGAAACATGTGGATCATCTTTTTTTCTTTAAGCATAGTTTGCTTTCACGTGTCTTCTAACAAATTGTAGCATTTTCTGTCTTACCCCATTTTTCTGAGACATGAATATCAGATGTCAGAAAAATGGAAAAGTCACAAAACATTACTATTTTCCATCCCAACATCTGATAGAAGATGCAGTTGTTGCCTTTTTAAGTTGTAGATTAAACCAATTCCACATCTATCTACTGACCCTGGTTCCACCCTGAGCTGAGGCAATGTCAGATTTCTGGCCCTGTCAACAATTGTGGGTGTGTGATCGTAGTGGGTGTTTCTGTGTAGCCAAAAAAAGTGCAGTCAATGTCTACTTGCCCGGCGCAAGTACCAAATGTGATCTGAACTTGTTTGTATGTAACAAGCAACTTAAGGAACGCCTGGGCAGACGCCAGAGAAAAGTGGTCGACCGACGCCCAGGCCACCTGCTGCTAGACTCATCTTCAGGAAAAGGTTAAAGGTCGATTAGGGAGTGGGAACCAATCAGAGCACAGCATTTCCTAATGCAGATTTTAGAGCCCATCTTTGTGCATGTGAGAAAGAGCTGAAATTTTGGAACAAGACTTCACCCCTTCCCCCTCCTCCAAGTGTTTCAGGAAAGGTTTTTGTATGAAGAAAAAACATTTTTAATTATTAGCACCTTCCACAAACTTCTTTCCATGCAAAGCTAAAAAAAAGTAAGCAAGCCATATTTTTATAATCAGCCACTTTTCCTCACTGGAATCATTTTCATAATCCAAACACCATCATGATAATATGAAGAAATTCAAAAGTTATCCTTAATATTACATTTCCTATCACACTGATACAATTTTTTTATAAAATTATTCCCTTTATCTCCAGTCCAATCCTAAATGATTTTCAGCAGGGATGTTAGACTTGCAAATAGAGATTTACCAGTGAAATGTCTGGCAAGGATAATTTGTCTGTTCATGTCTTGCTGATGCCATCAGTAATATCTCAATCAAGTTATCCATCTCTGTTTCCTACCTACCTCAAACACATGATTGACGGAAGTGGTGGATAATCACTGAAACTGTTTCTATAGCAACAGGCTCAACCATTTGGGACATTGGAAGAGGGGGAAGAAAAAACCTGAGACAAAGTTTTTGGTTCTTTGGTTCCCTGACTCCCTGTATTTTCACCACCTGAAGCCCAGAGTTCCCGAATGTGTCAAAAACTGTGGTACGAACATGAGACTATCACGACTTTTGAAGTGCCTCATAAAGCAGAAATAATGACCTGCCTATATTTTATATGATTTCTTGTATGATATGTAAATATGATCCTGTAGGGTAGAGATACAAGGATGTAGATGTAGTGTCAGGACCGTAGAGAGAAGTTCAACATATCAAGGTAGCATGCAGACGACATATCAATATCTTAATATGACTTAGGAATAAGGACACGGATAAGATAGACTTAAATATATGCAAGCCTAGCCCTTGGGCGTTTTAATTCAACACCCGTAATTAGTTCCAAACGAGACTGGTGGAAACAAAGGACAAATGGAAAAACCAGATGCACAGTGCCCATCCGGCTGGGCCTCCTTGGTGCTGTTGCCAGGTGACAGTTGCTAGGCAACAGTTGACAGGTGATGGTTGCTAGGCAACTGTTTACAGGTGATGGTTGCTAGGCAATGGCTGCCAGCTTGTGAGACATACAAGAAGCAATATCATTTTTAATATGACTGAAGTGTGTTTTGATTGTTTCACAAGGAAGATATTCCATTGTGGTTGTTGAGGGATTAGCACACCTTTTATGGTATTAGTAGACTATAATAAAATTAAAATCTGTTAGAGTAGTGTAGAGAAATATGTTGACTAAGATTGACACAGACAAAAACAATAGTGCCAGGGCAATGGCCCAGACATAGTCAAAATCTACAAGTACCAACTTGTTTTCTTAAAACTATTATCGAAACAAATAAAAGTCATAGAATCTTTTGATTACCAAACCCAAACCTAACAGACTGGCTACAAAACTGTGAAGAAAGAAAAAGCTGTATGAGAATGAGGCAAACCCTTCACCATGTACAACTGTTCTGAACAAGGAGCTGTGCAAAAGAGCCACCTGGCAGTTCCATCCATAACTGCACCTCGGACCCAGTCAGGTTTCCACCAAGTACGTGTTACCAGTAGAGCCTCTACGGTATATGGGTTGTTGAATTAAAGTGCCTCATGATATACAAATAATTAAAAATGCCTTCATGTTAGATAACTTAAGATAAGGAGTCATATAGAACAAATAACAGGATAAGGAAAAAAAAAGTCTCACTTTAAGATATTGTATAAGGACTTAAGACATCACCAAGTAGGAACTGCGCACTCATATTAAGTGATAGAAACCTAGCACACTTGAGAATTAGGAACGCCACTGCAATGTGGTTTCATCTGAACACCACATGTACAACGACTTGTGGTTTCGTCTAACTTTGGCTGACACTTTCTGGCATGATGTCGCTCGCTTGAACAAAATGAGTGATGCTTCCCAGACACTGTTTGTGTCCATACAAAATGAAACAAAACAAGTATCTTCTTGGAATTGAAAGAAACCAAAAAATTTGCAGAAATTATGTTCATGAAGTGAGAGACAAGTGATAACATTTTGTAATAATTATATAGTTGAGATTTGCATAAAATCTGGACCTAGCGATAAGATATTGTTGCCAGGTGAAGCCAAAGTTAGAATGAAGACAGCAAATATCCACACTCAGCACCCTTTGTCATATAGTCCAGGAGACACAGTATACATCTTATCTACTGTAAGGATGTACTTTCAGAATCTCACAATAGAAACAGAACGACATACATACATGTATGCTCTGTAAAAAGCCATACTATCATAAAAACAGGTCTTCAAGTGCTGCTGGTTGAAAAGCCGTCCTTTTAACAATCTCTGAAAACATCTTGGAATCACCCGAGGTTGTAGTGTCACGGGTATCTTCTTTTTGGCGATGCCTCAGGAGCGAAGGCATTTTTCTACCTAATGCTGTGTTTGTATACAAATTTTGGGGTAGATATTGGCATTGTCTCATCTCTTTAAATGTGGTAGCCTGGTTGCCATCCTAGTTAGTTAATGTCTGCTCCAAAAGCCATTATCCATGTTGCTCTTGGTTCATAGCGACTATTTGATTGGGTTGAAAAATACCAGATCACATCCAGGCTTAGCAATAAAAGTAAAAAATTGACTCATCACAATACAGTAATCTAGTGAAACATGTTGTTTTCTTATCATTATAGATTCAGATGACATGAACCTCGGGTGACTCATTAAGGAACAAGACAGTTCTTTTCTCAAGTCAGCATGCACATGAGACACTTTGCAAGATGACCAGAGCTTCTTAAACCCCCTCCATAACATTGTCATTCAGTAAGAAACTTCAAATTCCCCTTCTGAGATGTTTTGTTTCACTAACTTAACAGATGTCTGTGTCAAGATACAAGATAAGATGCTGGACTGAAATATTGATTTATATGTCTGGTGTAGCAGGCCAGAACATACCCCTGGCCAAAATGTACCTGTGGGTATATTCTGACCAGGAGTATAGTCTGACCTGCTACACCAGAAACACAAACCAGTGAGTTTAACATCACTACATTGCTCTGAAGTAATTTTCAGACCCTTAGAATGACATGGGTGGGGTTTAGTCAGCTCAAATGGGCTTGAAGCAGTCAATATGGTACAAAACAGACATCCCAAAACTGGACAACTGACAACGTGCAATACTTACTAACCACATGCCAAACGATAACGTATGTATAGAGGCATGGCACTTGCTACCTTGATCCTGACTAGCTACTCTATGTACATAGCTTACATAATAAACTAGTCATGTATAACCTAGATAAGGAATCTGTACTGACAACTTGAGCTCTAACAGTTGTAGTCGTTTCGTTGCATTTCCCATGACTCTGATTTCTTAAGGTTCGACATTCCAGTTAGTTGTGTTACAGTTGAGATCGGAACAAGGATTTGCCTGTAAAATGTAAATCTCTTGATTGTTGGACAAGAATTGTTGCATAGCTAGAAAATGGTTTGGTTTTAATCCCTATGTATAATCAGATTTTGTTCAGTGAACCTTGTGATTGATCGAGAATCAAGACTTAAGTAAAAGAAGCATATAGTACTTGTCTCTGCTATAACTGAAAGTAACAACTGTATAATTACAAAGCTAAGAGTGGTTTTGTTTTCATTATAGATAAAACATGGACAAGATTTTAAAAATGCAAAGGCATTCCAGTACTTCAGAATCACCTTTTTTCAGGTTATTGCTTGCCAATAGAAGACAATCTTACAAACAGTTTGGATCTTGTATGTTAAACTTCTTGTCATTGGTCAGATGGCAGTCAATGAGCATGGGTCCTGATTTTAGTTATAAAGTTTATTTAAGACAATACATCAATATTGTAAAAAGAATTATTATATCTCTTTTATGCCTTATTTTGCAATTCAGTATAAAATATATGGAAGACATGTATTTTGTAAATGATTCTGCTGTTATATAAGAATTCCTATGATTTAGTATCAAATGTGACTGAAGTTGACATGTGCAAAAGTTCAGTGGTTAACTTTGTAGTATGTCCAGATGGCTTCCATGTTGTATATGCGGTAACATCCTGTATAGCTTCTTTGTGGAAAGGATTTGATTACAAACTTCTAAAAAAATTGTGTTGTTATTCTATTCCTTCTGTTTGTTATATCTTTGCATAGAAACTATGCAAGATAGCACATATAGTCCAGTTCTAAGTTTCAGTCATTTTGCTATAGACATCTGATTGTATCTTGTTTGTTTGCAAAGCAAATCTACCAATAAAGACTTCTCAAAACTTTGGATCAGTTTCCTGTGGCGTTTATTGTGTGTCGTGTTCTTAGCCTTGCAAGTTGGTACAGATACTTAAGCTTATACATGTAGTCTTACATTTTGTATTTGGTGTAATCTTACCTCCCAATGGCCAATGTAAATATTTTGGCTGAAAGCTAAAGATACATATAATATCAGTAAGGAGACAGACTACACAAGTGTGTGTGAACAAAAATAGCAAAGGCATAAAGAACTCTCTCAAAAAAATTGCCTCCTCTTTGCCTCTTAGTATTCTGTAATGTGCCGACTACAAAGTAGCACTGACAGTAAATTCCATGTAAGGTTTTGCAAGGGCAATGTTTGAACTCATGTACATATAATACAGATGAAATCTCATGTAGTGAGCATTATTGGTCATTTTGCAACCATTTTTTAATCTCTCCAATATGTGAACAAACAGCAGTAGCACACATCACACACACTTTTCCATCACCAGTCCTCAGACTCTGTGGTCTTGTCATCATCATCACTTTTAACATCCTCATCACTCTCATCTTCATCATCATCATCATCAGTTGCTTCCTGATCCTTCTTGTCACTTTTGTCATCCTTCTCCTCTTCATAGTCCTCCCATCCTCCCTGCTGATATTTAGTTGTTGTTATTTATTGTTTGCTAGACTCTAACCTGTATCTTGTATCTATGATGATTACATCTGATTCAATAACTTTAATAATTTAGAACCAGCTTAGCATTATTATGAGAATGACATTATGACATCAGAAAAATACACAAAATTGACATGCAAAATAAGGTGATAAGACAACTAATGCAGATTTCTGGAAGGCTATATTTTTTCACTGAGGTGATGTAAAGTTATTTTATATCCTACACAAAACCTGTTGTACATGTATTAAGAACTTAGTGGCATTAGCTCACCTGTATGTGGTTTGTGTCCTCTGTCTTACTATCCTGTCCACCAACTTTAGTATGCTCCCTGTGATGGTGGTTTCCATGCTTCGTGTCATCACCAAATGTTTTACCTTGCTTTGATGTTTGTTGATGTTCTGTCTCTTTACTTTGTCTCACATTCTTGTGATGTTTGTGCCCCTTTGTACTACTGTGATGATTCTGAGATTCTTCCAAATTTGCGTTTTCACTGTTTTTGGTCCAGTCACTGTCGTTCTCAGGTTCTTTCTGTTCTTTACTGTGATGAAACTTGTTGTGGTGCCCTTCATTTGCATCCACGCCTTCCCCCTGTCTTGTTAACACCTCCTGGGACTCAGTGTGACTTGTCTTGTGATGATGCCTGCCTGATAATGAAGCTTTATCTGGTCTGTTTTCTGCCTTTTCTGAATTCAGCAGGCTTGTTTTCAGTTCATGCACCTATAAGACATCAGCAAGAAAATATTTTGCATGAGAGAACACTACATGTGCATTGAAACTTGCTATGTCATACAAATTACTTAAAAATATTAAAGTCCATACAGTGTGTGTATTTCAACCAAGACATGATACGTGTATCAGGTCAAAGAACTGACCATGGGCCATACGAGGTCAGTCACCTTTGACCTCCAGTAGTTGCACTCGGTCTTCTGAGGTTGTCAGTTCCGGTATTTCCAGCAAAATTAGTGAGTTTGGACGGTAAGGACGGCTCATGTACATTGTACTGGTTGTATAACGTTACATACTTGATATATTTTGGGATACATGTAGTAGTATTATACATGTAACGTCGCAACCTGAGTTCGTGAGTGTAAAACAATACTTTAGCCGCGGTGACTCTTGATTCGGGCTATGTAAGAATCAAGAGTCGCGATTGCCACGGCTAAACAATACTAAACCGATACTTCTACATATGTATGTCATGTATATGACAGCTATTTGCCGAATCACTGTGTGGCGTGTTGAACTGCCCAACTATTAGTACATACCGTACGGAGAACTTCCTTGATCAAATCGTTGTTCTTCCTGATCAGAGCAACATCCTGAGAAATAACAGATCGAACAAACATATTGTTTGCTAGAATGATGGGGAGCATTGAAAATCATTTCGACATGACAACAAAATGTTTTAAAGTAAGAACAAGTATGCTTCTTACAGCTTCAAATATTACCAGATAGTTAAAATTTGATATGATCATAAATGTCTATAATAGCGTCTCGAGTGTACCAATGCTTATATCTTGATTATTATCCCAGCCGTGACAAATTATGTGGGCAACATTAGTACTTGTGTGTACCAACTGGATGTACATGTACCTTGCTACTCAGTTGTTCCCCGCAAGAGGTCTCTTCACCACGGTCTTCTTCCTCACCTTGATCTTGAGACTTACTGTGCAGGTTAGTGTGATCTCCAGGATCGCCTGGTCTAAGACCAGGAGTCTTCTGTCTCTTCTTCGCTGCGGCCAATTTTCTCATTGCCTTAAGGAGCTCTTCAACATCCTTTAAGGAAGTAGGTGAGCCTGACCCAGCAAGCCCGAGTGGACCCCGTTCAGCGTCTGCTGGCCCACCGGCGGGCTGACCGGTGTTGCTCGGTGCCCGGGGCACCGGTCCCCCGCCTGGAGGACTGTCGGCTGTCGCTGGACCCAGGATCGGGCTGCCTGGGATCGGGACGGGGAGGATAGGCTGGCCGGCGTCCGGGGACTGGGGAGCCGCCGGGCCTGTGGCGTTCTTACCACCCTTGGTTTCTCCTGCCTTATCCGCACCCTACATTCGGAGAGAACACACGTAGGTACGGTTTTACTCTCAGTTACAACACGGTTTTACCCGCGAAATACAATTGAGTGAATACGATAACAGACTCCAATGGATTGTAGGAAAATGGTATAAATTGGCCAACTAGACTAAATCATGAATTTATTAGCCAGCCCAGGGAGTACAATTCGCAACCCGTACTGTCCGTAATAGGAACGTTAACTCTTTGCACTTTTGAAATAATAAACATAAGAAAAGGTACGAACTGGACCACATTACCTTAGGTAGCGCAGGTCCACCTGGGGTTGGCGGTCCTCCGGGGGGTGGGGGAGCTCCAGGGGGAGGGGGAAACCCGGGGGGTGGGGGAGCCCCGGGGGGAGGCTGTGGTGCAGGGGTTGCTTTAGAAGCGGTGGCCTTGGCCGGCTTCTGTTGTTTCGCGCTGGCAGCTGCAGGCCCCGGCTTCTGATCCACCCAGACCGGCTCACGGTCGGACTCAGACGCCGCCGGCCAGTCGGGGTAATAGTCATCCTGTCGTGACGTAAAAACGACAGGAGAAAAAAAAGGTAATACACTATTAAGCAACGACTAACGACAAACAAAACATCTGAATATGATCCTAGGAATTTCAAACTCGATCTACTGGTACCACTGGATAGATTACGGAGATAATTTCCAGACGTTTCGAGTGACATCTTCAGCGTCACTAATGAACTAACAGAACTCGTTAACACATGCATGTATATGAGCAACTGAGAAAAACGGTTGAACACGACAAAGACCCATATATAGGTGGGTATGATCTTTACGAAGAAAGTTACAAATGTAATAGTATATGAAATCACTAACGAGCCTAGAATCTCAAAGCCTTTAGGAGCCAGCACTACAGATCAAGTATGATGAAAATTCATTTCAGACGGAAGACCACGGTACCTCCCCTTCCTCGTCACCACCGCCTTCCCAGTCGGAATAGACGTCTCTTAATGTCCTGTCCCTGGTGTCAGCAGAAAGAGACTTGGGAGATAAAATGTAGCAGATAAATTTGAAATTTCTTTCTAAGGGTTTATTAAGGGTACACAACTTAGGATAGAATTTTCTTATACACAACTAGTACTTCTTTCAACAATACAATATCCTATGTTGTACCCAAATTGATGAAGTTATTTTCGGATGTTAAAAACTTTTACTGAGGGACAGAAGGGATTGCCCTTACCTTGTGCGGAGCGTGGAATGACGATGCCTGGCAACACAACAACGCCACAACCAACGCCGTTACCATGGCTACGGGTGACGCCATGGAGCGCCGCATCTTTTCTGACGTCACGTTATGAGCTCTTGTGTCACAGAAACAACAAAGAAAACAAACAGCCTTTGACTGAATGAACTTGAAGACACGAAGAAGGATTTGATGAGATATTGGGCGGAAAGATCATTGTAGCATTTATGTATGACGAACGAAATCTGATACGACTGTAAGTTAACCAAAATTGTCGACTACCAACAAGACTGTCGTCATGTTTTTGAACTTTGAATTGATCTGAAAACTTGTTGCTCTAAAATTGACTGTATCTATTCCAGCTTATAACCGTAGTAACCGTTTCTTACCCTTACTGACGTGTGGACTCCTGTCTCGCCGGTAAGACTTGTGTAACGGTACGAGGTTATAAACACAGCTTTGGGTACAAGAAACTTCCACTGCCTTTCGAATGTTTCCGATAGGGGAACACGTTTGTTTACATGCTGTTCTATAGAACTGGCGTCGGTTCGTGCCCACTTTGTCAGGAGAATGATTAATGAGGGCACCGGAGAGATCAGCTTGCTACCCTAAACACTATAAACTGATTTTCCTACATGTGGAAGGTTTTCAGCACCAAGGACAGGGTTGCCTGTGTATGGAAGGTGTTTATTCTACCACGGAATGAAGTCCCCGCGAAAATGAACGTTTATTTGTGATAATAGAAATGCACAAGTTCCCTGTAGCTGCATTTTCATCCAGTTTTTGACCCTGAGATAGTCTTTAGATTATCTTATTTAGATTATCTAATCTTCCTTCTTCGAGACATATAACGTTAAGTGCCTAGCACCGAGACGGGCCGTCATTGGTCGGCATAATTAGATTACCAGCTTCACATTAATTAGACAGGGCTGTTTGGCACACCTGTGTAAAAACAAGTTTTAAAATGGCGCCTTCGTACGACGGGAATACTCTGGGCTGCTTTTATTTTACGAATTTCTGGGTGCTTTTTAGAGTTTTCACCGGTAGAATGTTTTGCTAAGTGTGTAGCAGAATGTCTGTGAGTTTTGGTCGTGGATTTGTGCCGTTCTGGTGATGTTTTGAAGAGAAAATGCGGATTTCCTGACCTGGCGAATTTTGGAGAAGACAACAAGATGGCGCATGGCGTGGCAGTTGGGAAGAGTGGCGTGGTATGGAGACGACTTCGCTTATTGTTGCAGGTAAACCAGCAAATTTTTTTGGCTGACATTATTCCTTAGGAACTATAGTAGGAACATGTCAAATTATATGCCGTAAGAAAGTACCTATTTCTTTAAATTTATTGGAAAGCGACCGTTCCTAATTTTAGAAAGGCTTTGAAAAAGTCTATCAAGTTGCCGCATTTTCAACAACATTTTCAATGTGTGGTGCGCTTGTAGAGTATTAAATGTATGTGCGTGTCTTTTTACTCAATTGTTTGCGTTTTGAGGTTATATTTGTTGAAAGAAATTATGCATTGACCAAAACTTTTTCTTTATCTCCACGTGGTTCAAAACACCTGTTGGAATGTGCCCGTGTACATATGTTAATTAAATATTTTTATCCCGCCAAAAACTCGCGTAAACAAGGTGAGTCCCTCAAAGCTTAAAGGCGCAGAAATAAAAACGACACAAAACGTTTGGACACTTTACAGTCTTCAGTCGAGTTGACCATAGTTTCGTTCTTCATTATCACTTGCAATGTATTATAATATCATGTATAATTTTACAACTTACATGACTTTTTTCTCTACTCACATATACGTTAAAAACTCAAAGGTGCAACATACCACAAGTAACGTTACATTTGTAACATTTTTAAATGCAATTTCTACAGCCTAACTTCTTAAAAATCTATTCAATCAATAAGATACTTGAATTGCATATCATTAGTTATGATCATTCAGTGTCATCTGGGGATGTTTTTCCATCACACTTACTATTGTTTCATCTTGTGTGGGAGAAACCTGTGATGCTATTTGTGTAGCAACACAATCATTTCCAACACTCCCAAGCACACACTCTTGCCTACATTTCTATCCTTTATAACCAACTTTATTCTTTCACAGACTCTTTTCCTTGCTTTAGCCTTTCATCCTTGAACTCTGCTTTCAATGGACCTATCACATTATTTCGTCGCAGTTTGTTTACCACAATGAATGCCAGTCAATCGACGTTTATATTGTACAGGGGTGCGTAGCGCGGTGTGTGTGTTTGTGTAGCGTTACTACTTTGTTCTAATGTCACAATTAAATCACCCATTGCGACAGTTAATGCTGTGTCAACAAAACTAGAGGCAGCAAAAATCAAACATATCGGACCTTAAAAACATGATCTTTGTTCTTTAACTGACCATTCTAGAATGTTCTTTAGAACAGGTAAACAAACTGTGACATAATAATGTGATAGGTCCATTGCGTGGCATGTGCTCCTCTTCTGACGCTTTGGACCTTTCCACTCAACTTTTCTCCTGATGCTTCACTTACATTCTGACACACTGCTTTCCTTGTCTGCCAGAGTTTCAAGTGTGCAGGTGTTCCTGTCCTGATGAGATGAGAGTGGTTTATGACAGAGATACCAGGTGGCTGGAAACAGGAGTATCAGGCCAGGTGAGAAGGTCTGAATTGTGCATTTTGCCAACCGTTCACTCGATGTTATTTGAGACAAGTGCATAACTTTTAATCTTCTTACTTAATACTTAGGTGGCTGCTGACCGATGCAGTAGTGGGGACTCCTGTCAGAACCTGACAAGTGAAGATTGGACCAGACCACTGATGATTTGAAGACCCAGGAGGAATATCAGGTGAGAAAAATCTGAATTCTGCATTTTACCTAGTAGCTATTTGGTGTTATTTGAGACAATTATGTAACTTGTAATGTTTGTATAGTTAGGTGGCTGCTGACTGATGCAGTAGTGAGGACTCCTGTCTGAACCTGACAAGAGAAGATTGGACCAGACCACTGATGATTTGAGGACCCAAGAGGGATATCTGGTGAGAAAAATCCAAATTCTGCATTTTACCTGCAGCTATTTGGTGTTAATTGAGACAAGTGTGTAACTCGTAATGTCTGTATAGTTAGTTGGCTGCTGACTGATGCAGTAGTGGGGACTCCTGTCTGAACCTGACAAGAGAAGATTGGACCAGACCAGATGATTTGAAGACCCAAGAGGAATATCAGGTGACAAAAATCTGAATTCTGCATTCTACCTAGTAGCTATTTGGTGTTATTTGAGACAAGTGTGTAACTTGTAATGTCTGTATGGTTAGGTGGCTGCTGACTGATGCAGTGGTGAGGACTCCTGTCTGAACCTGACAAGAGAAGATTGGACCAGATCGGGTGATTTAAAGACAGAGATGCCAAAGCTCAGCAAACCAAATGACTTGAAGTTGAAGACAGAGTGAAGAGTTTGTACAGGTGAGACAATACTTTACCACTTTATTTTTCTCTTTGTTAATAATAATGACATGTGGTGTAGCGCAGGGGACCCTCCTAGGTCCCATTCTGTTTTTAACACTCATTGATGACGCTGCCAACGACTCTCCGTGCCCTGTCTGGAAGTACGTTGACGACATGAACTTACTAGAGACAAGAACTTTAAGCCAACCTTCCATGCTACAACATGCCCTCGACGATCTGAACCTATGGACACAACGTAACCACATGCTCCTGAATGGAGGAAAATGCCTAACCATGCATGTGACCTTCACCAAAAACCCACCTCCGCCACCCCCTTTGCTAATCAATGAGACGGAGCTAGCTGTTGTCCCGAGTCTGAAAGTGCTTGGTCTTCACATGCAAAATGACCTCCACTGGGACGATCAGGTGAACAGCATGATAACGAAAACGGGCAGAAAACTCTTCCTCCTTAAACGACTGAAGAAGTTTAACCTACCTGAAGGTGACCTGGTGGCGATATACATCGGGTATGTTAGGCCAATACTGGAATATGCAGTTCCAGTCTGGCACTCAGGCCTAACTAAACGCCAGTCTGATCAACTGGAGCGGTTACAGAAAAGGGCGTGCCGTACAATCATGGGGAAAGACTACTGCGGGTACTCACATGCTCTACAGCACCTCGGACTGACAACACTTGCCTCTAGGCGTGAACAGCTGACTCTGAAGTTTGCTAGGTCCTTGCTAGGCTCTGAGTTCAGGGACTGGCTCCCACCACCTAGGGCTCAGATCACAGGAAGAGTGACACGCAACAACCACAAACTGAACTGTCCGAAAGCCAGAACGAAGCGGTACTTGAACTCTTGTGTGCCGTACATGACAAGACTTGTAAACCAGCACGGACAGTAACCCTTTTTGTAATGTGTTTGTATAATTTGTCCATATTTGTGAACTTTAATGCATTCCAGCTTTTAATGAATTCCACCTTTTAATGAATTCCTTATTTTGAATTGTAAATTGGTTTTAATTCAGTGGCAACACTGCGATTTCCAATAAAGAGATCTTGTATCTTGTATCTTGTAATAACTGAGAGGCAATAACATACTACAAAAAGTGAATGTACATGTGTACTTTTAACACTGTGTACATATCTGATATATCTATCTAATTCATTAATTAAGCAAAGGGATACTTTAATTTTAGGGGCATCATACTAATTATTCATTATATTAGTTAGGTGTGTCCTGACGTTCCTGTCCTGACTGGGAGAAACCTGTGATGATGGCCGACTTCTGTCCACACCAGACCAGATGACTTGAGGACAAAGTGAAGAGTTTGCACAGGTGAGACAAATTGCCTTTCGACTTACCTTTTTATTTCTGAGAACCCTGAGACATAACACACAACTAGTAATATTTGAATGTGTAAAACACCTTTCCACTTTCTACATCTATTCTTTCTACCATGAAGCAGCTGCTCGAAGCACTTAATTAATTTGATGAGATTTTCCTACCAAAAAACTTCTTCATATGATTTCTTATCATCATACTGGAACTCTCTCAGACTTCCCACTTCATAATAATAACACAAAACCAGATTAAAACAGCTTTTCATATTGAGCATTCATCAACA